TGTAATAAGTTAAAGAGGTATTTTTTTGTCATTATGAATATGCCCCATGTATATGTACGTGTAGATCTATCTGTCTAGCTGATTTTCATTGTTTGAATTAAATATTGAATACATAAAAGAATGGTCGCAACACTTGTGAAGAGTATAAAGAGAAACAGTAATAAACCCTGCTGTGTATCACCGTCCAATGAATTGCAAAAAAAGGTTCTCTGGCTATTAGCCACATATCCATGCTTCCCCCCAAAAGTCTTAACACTCCAGTCCTAGCTTGGATATAAAAATATTCTGAAATTAGTGTGTTTTATTTCTGTTTTTTTTCCTATGGTTTTACCATATATACATGCATATTTTAAAAACCTAATTCATTTTGTTTTGCAAGATTTTGAATTTTCTCTAAAAGCATCATCTTGTGTATATTTTTCTAAAGATTCTTTTTTTATTTGCTCAACGTTTTGTGGTATGTATGCAAATTTGCATGCATTCATTTTCTTTGTTGTACCTTATGTTTGAATATATCATAATTTATCTCTCCATTTTCCTTTCAATGGACATTTAGTGGTTCCACTTTTTGCTGCTACAAACACTGCTACTGTGATCATTCTTGTACCTATTTCTTGGTACACTTGTGTAAGAGTTTACCTGGGGCACTGGTTTTCAAGCTGTTTCAGTGAGAATCTGTGGGAAGAAATGCATATTACCTCAGAACCCAGTTTTAGTTTGCTGGTTATAATATACAACAATACAATAGATTTCTATATATTGACAAAAATTGAGTCCTGACACCACCTAAACTCATTCATTTTTCTGGTAACTCTTTTGTAAATGCCTTAAAATTTTCTATGTAGATGATCATGTTCTTTTCTAATAACATGTTATTTTCTATGTCATCCTTTCCAATTAGTAGACTTTTTATTTCTTTTTCTTGCCTTATTACACTAGCTAGAACCACCATCAAAATGTGGAATAGAAGTGTTGAGAGCTGATGTCCTTGCCTTGTTTCCAGTATTAGGAAAGCACACTTAATATTTGACAATTTGAAAAAAAAATTTGACAATTTGATATGGTATTAGCTGTAGGTGTATCTTATATGCTTTTTATCAGGATGAAGATATTTCTAATTTGCTGACAGTATTTTTTTTAATCAGGCGTGGATATCAGATTTTATCAAATGCCTTTTCTGCATCTGTAGAGATGATCATATTTTTTTTTCATCTTAATGTGGTAGATTACATTGATTTTTGAATGGTCCTCGGGCTGGTAAGAGGTATGTTGCTCAGTTTCAATGTTTTGGGATTTTTAAAATGTCTGTTACTGATTTTTAGTTTAATTCCATTGTAGTCAAAGAATATACTCTGTATGATTTGAATCCTTTAGTTACCTGAGACATGTCTTATTGCCTGATCTTTGTCATTTCTAGGTCTTTTTCTATTGATTCATTTTTCTCCTGACTTTAGGTGATATTTTCATCCTTCTTTGGACGCCTGGTAATCTTGAAGTGGATGTCAGACATTGTACATTTCATTTTGTTGGGAGTTTGACTCTTGTTCTGGGATGCAGTTAAGTTATGAGGAAACTTTTATTCTTTCCATGTTTGCGTTTGATCTTGCTTAGGCAGGACCGGCACAGCCTTTACCTGTGGGCTGGTTGTGTTGCACTACCAAGGCTCTGCTCTTCCAGTACTCAGAGCAGTGGTCACATAGCGCAAGGTTTCTCCATGCTGGTTGTGGAAAACACGAACTGTCCCCAGCCCTGTGAGAAGAGTGGGAATTGCTCCTTCTGTTCTTTTCTAGTGGTTCTTTTCCTTGGCCTTGGGTATTTTCTTTGCATGCATGGGCTGACCAGTACTCAGCTGTAGACTCGGGAGGAAACTCCTCTCTGATTTTTTGTCCTGGGTATCTTGGCCACCTGCACCTCCCTGAATTCTCAACTCTGTTTCCTCATCTTAGGGTGACTGCCACGTGCTGTTTGTGTTTCTCCTCCCTCTACTTTTGCCTGGAGACTCTTTTCAAGCAGTAACCAGAGGCAATTGTAGACTTACCTCATCTGTTTCTGTCCTCTCGGGCATCCCTCTCCTGCACTGCATGCTGTTTGGTACCTGAAAACCATTAGTCATATTTTGCCTATTTTTTAGATCTTTAAGACGAGAGAGTTCGTTTGATCCCTGATGTGCTCTCTAATCCACTATAGCCACAGTAGAAGTGAAAAGCATACATAAAATAATTTTTTAGAAACAAATATTCCGAATTCATAATGATATTTCTAATTCACATAGATTAGCCCAGATTTCTTTATCTTTTTTTTTTTATTTGTATTTGTCTTCTATGCTGAAATATCTTGGTTCCAAAGACATTACTAAAAATTACTCATTTTTATATTTCTTTTCATTTTATTTTTTATTCTTTTATTATATTTATTTATTTTAGAGAGAGTGAGTGTGCATGAGCAGGGGAGGGGCAGAGAGAGAGGGAAAGAGAGAATCTTAAGCAGACTCCACTTCTAAGTGTGGAGTCCAACACAGGGCTTGATCTTACGACCCTGAGATCAGAACCTGAGCCAAAACCAAGAATTGGAGGCTTACCCGACTGAACCACCCAGATGCCCCTCACTTTATTCTTATAACAACCCTAAGAGGCAGGAAAAATACCACTTCACAAATGTCATTTTATTGATGAGGACATTGAAGCCTGAAGATTAAATGACTTGTGTGAGAGTCCAGGATGGTAGTTTTCTGGCCAAGCTATGGGAAGGATCTTTAGTGGCCTGACTGTAAGCAGGTTTCACCTTCATGTCACTTTTCAGCTACACACACACACACAAATACACACATGCGCGTGTGCGTGCGTGCGTGGCTTCCAATTTCTCATTTATGAAACAAGGAGATTTGACCAAATGGTTTCCCAGATTTTTTCAGCTTCTGGCCTTTGCCCTAGCTGTTTGCTCTTCTCATTCCCCCTTCCCTCCCGGCCACATACACACACACTGTGTCTTCTCACTGTGCTGGCAGCAAGACGTGACTGTGGTGGATATAAGATGGAAGGGGCCCAGGGGCGCCTGGGTGGCTGAGTCGTTAACCATCTGCCTTCGGCTCAGGGCATGATCCCAGGGTCCTGGGATGGAGCCCCGCATCGGGCTCCGTGCTCAGCGGGAAGCCTGCTTCTCCCTCTCCCCCTGTTTGTGTTCCCTCTCTTGCTTTGTCTCTCTCTGTCAAATAAATAAAATCTTAAAAAAAAGAAAAAAGATGGAAGGGGCCGGGGTTCAGTTCTAGGACCCTCCTGGATGTGGTCCATGGTGGGAAAGCGACCAGTCAAGCTTGTCCTGGGTCACGCCCTGCTGAGATGTAAGCCCAGGTCCCAACCTGCTACTCTTGTTTTCTCATTTTCAGCTTGATGTTTTCGAAGTAATGGGTTTTACAGCCTGGTTGGGGATCATTCCTTTTTCTCAGTGAACTGTATTTTGTCTCAAATTCATGTACGTATGGAGGAAATAGTCACATTTTTGCCTATCATTTCAGGGTGCTTGTTCCAGATTCCACAGTAATCTGTGGCTTTTATCTTCAGATTCTCTATTCCTCAGTTGTGATTTCTGTCCATAAGTTAGATGCAGTAAACTGGACACAGTCTTAGATCTGATCATTTTTTATCTCAGATCTATTTAGTTTGTATTTAGTAAGAATGCATACCAAGAAGAACCAGATTCATACCTTATTTTGTTGGGGGGAAGGTGTTCTGGGCTCAGTAGTAAGTCAGGTTTTTTTTACTTCATCATTAAAACCCTGCCTTAGTTGCCCTCAGATTTTTTTCTCTTTTACTTTTTTTTTTTTAACAAGAAACAGATCAGTAGAAAAGAATAAAAGCTAATAGAACTGTAGGCATGAGTAATATTAGAATGTGTTTTAATGTTGTACCCAGATTGAGAGTACTACAGTGAGTACATGATTGAGGCATCTTTGGTATTCTAAATAAATTCCTGGTTCCTCAGTTGAATCACTGTAGAAATGCTAGAAGGGATGGCAAGAAAATGGTTAAAATATTAAAATATTCCCTCACTCTCATGCTGCTTCCTAGGGGAACTCTGTTCTTAGCTGCCTGCAGTAAAGTGGTTTTGCTGTCCTTAGAGACACCTGCCCTGCATTGCCCAGCAACCTTTACCCTGGAAGGACTGCTGGGCTAGCTTGTTCTGCTTCTCCACACGTCTTCCTGATTTCCAGTCTTCATTGAATGACTTCCACTGGCTTATTGGTGAGGGTGAAAGTATCCATCTTTGAGGACATGGGTACCACCATGCTCAAAGTGGGGAGCTGGACTGGGCAAGAAAGGGAAGGTGACTGCCATTTTTTCAGTGTCCACCGAGTATTGGTCATGGTCCTAGGGATTCTGCATACATTTTCCTCTTCGGGCTTCACAAAACCTTATGAAGAATGTACTGTTGCCTCTGCTTTTTAGATGGGGAAGCTGTGGGAGAAAGCTCCACATGTTTGTAGAATATAGACTTTTCCCCCATGATTGTGACTTGCCTTGTTTCATCTTTTCTTATTCAAACATTCCGTGTAAATTTAATTTCATATGAATTTAAATGAGATGGCATATAGTAATCACTTGGTAACAGTGAGACAGTAAACTATAGTTGAAATATCTGTGAAATATTTCTCCAGTTAAGGGTATTTATCAATTCTGTCTACAAATAGATATAATCCTTAAAATAGAGATTTCTTAAAGAATTACCAATGAATTGGTCAATATTCTCCTCAGTAGTCTAGAAAATGAAGTTAAGAATCCTATAAGAGCCTGCTCCTGTGGAGTACTATGGGTGAGAAGTATAAGCCCCTGTCCTCATTTGATGGCCCCTGGCTGGGATGGTTCTGAGTAGGGAGGCACCATCATGGTCATCTCATCTTAAAAAGATTAGGTTGGAACCTAAATAGAATGATCAGTGTAAAACCATAGATTTTTTACTTCTTGGGGTCAGACCTACTGTTGAATCTAATTCTCTGATCCTTACAGTAGACTGGAATTAAAGAGCAAAAGAAAAAATCCACTTGGCCTTTGGGGACATCATTGCATTAAATCCAGGGCAAAGATCAAAGGTGAGATGTGCCTTTTTTGTTTTGGTAGTTGTAATGGGTGAAAGTAGGTAGATCAAGATAATAATGAAAAAGATGAAGTTTGGTCATCTTTTTAATATTCCGAGTAGTAAACAGTTCAAATTGGGACCTTGGTCTGTGTTTGCTGGATCTTTGTTTTGTAGATTCTACCAAATGACTAATAGGAAATGTAATGTTTTAGTTATTCTTCAGGGGATTGTAATTTGAGGATTCATGAAAGAACCTAACTTACTAGAAAGATTAAATACTAGTAACGCATAGACTTTTCATTGTCGAAACTGATCCTTGTTTTGGGCCCTGTTAGTGAATTCTGTTGTCTTATTATTGCATAATCTTAAGACCCCAACTTTCTTTTTACCTCTCTCATATAAGCCTGGTTTAAAGAAAAGGCCAAATCAAAGATTTGGTAAAATGCAAACTATTTTACATTTGTAGACATACTGTCTTGTCTACTTGGCTCTGCAAAATTACACTTTCATGACATAAACAGTAAGCTGCTTAGGGAAAAATTCCAGCAATTCGTCTTTCCCAACCTTGCACATAGCAGCCAGCAAGGCAATTTATAATCAGCAACTCCCTGTTCTTGTTTAATTTCCTCAGACAAAACAAGAGATTGTGGTGGGCCTGCTAGTTCAAAACAGCCCAACTTGTTTCTCTGCTTCTTATCATCACCTCATGAATCAGAGGATGTTTTAGCCAAAGGGACCCTTAGAGTCATCTGATCTGTTGCCTAGTTTACAGATGGGGAACTGAGGCTCAGACTGAGAACTCATTCAAGGTCATGCGTATGTAAGTGGTACAGTTGAGTCTTCAGTAGTGTTTTGTTTAACCCTCAGAATTTCCCTTATTTTCCCTTTATCTGTCTTTCTCTGTAATAATTACTCACATTCCAGGAAGAAAGCACCATCCATTGAGAGCTAGTTGTGTGTGCCTGTTCCTCAAATAGCACCAGACTAGCAGACAACGTGATTACCAGTCACTGATTCATATAATAAAGCTTGTGTTTGCAAGTCGGATTTCCATTTTATGAGGGAAATCTAAGGCAGACACATCATACTGAGAATCTGTGAGGCTCCTCTCTTTGTTCCCAAGCTGTTCCTTCACCATTCTGGAGCAGCCTTGTCAAATGTAATGAAGGCCTCATCACCAGCGTTAGGAACAGCTTTGCTGCTTATAAAACTGGATTACTTGGGGCAAGGTTTTTACCCCTTCTGAATCCATTTCCTTATTAAATAATGTGGTGCATGGCACTTACTTCTTATAGTTACTGTATTACATATTGAAGTGAAAACCTAAAATACAATGGAAATGAGGGGTAGTAGGGAGTGGGAGAGGGAGGGCAAGGTTCAAAAGTACATCGTTGGAAAGAAGAGATGACAGCTCTGAGTGGTTGGGAATCTTGTTGGTACTTCTGCCCAAAGACATGAAACTGATGAATGTCCCCTACCTGGTGACTTTACTCCAGTAAAAGGCATTTTTGAAGGGTTGCACTTCCCATGGGAATCTCTTTGGAAGCTTGGGTTGGAAAGGCAGATTCTGTCTTGTGTAATAAGCAAAAAGTGACAGAGAGGTGATTTTGATATCTCTTTCATGAGTGGTGGGGAACCACAGCTGCTGCTTCTTAGGGAAACAGAAGTATCTTAAGGTTTGGGGAAGAAGTGGCAAATAACTGAATCGATTGGTAGATTCTATAAAAGTCACCGTTGTGCCTTGAGCATGTTCTTTGGGTTTAATCCAGTGCCTTGAAATGTGAAAGACACAAAAATAATGTGCATCCAGATCCACATGTGTGAGGAGTTTACCTTCTGACTGGGGGCAGATGATAACTAAGATTATCTGAGATTAACAACCCAAACTGTATTGGAAGGAAAAGCTGTCAGATGTCAGAAGAAACAGATTCGTGCAGGGTGATAGGGAGTCAGTAGTTACTTGTCGAATGGAATTGTGAATGTGAGCTTTGGATTGTTATGTAGCAAAAGATGAGCTGTTGTTCCAAGCGGGGATAAACCGTGGGTTGAACACAGAATTTAGGGGACACTGTGAGAGTCTTGACTGGAGCAGAGGGTGGAATTTGGCAGATGATGGAGGCTAAGGTGGATAATTAAGGCCAGGATAATTTTGGAGGATTTAGGAATCTAGGAGTTAAGGAAACATATTGGTTTATGGTGTGTGTGTGTGTGTGTGTATGTGTGTGTGTTCACAATAGTCCTTGGTAGGTGTTTGTGCTAGGTGCTGCCTTTGAGAGTTTCTGCCTACTTCCCTGCTGACAAGAACGAGGAAGAGATGGAGCTTGGTCATTACACAACACATTGTGACACAGCAACCTCATTACTTCCTGTTTCCATCTGCGAGCAGGGCCACTGGAAGGAACAGACAGGTTCCGTGGGAGTCAGTGAATGGGGACTGGGGGGGAGTCAAGGATATGAGATCTACATTCTCTATGGAAAACCAGACATATACTTAGTGGGCAAAACCATTGAGTCACCCGACTCTCAGATGAAGGAGGAGAACTTTAGTGGAATGGCAGCCGTGGCCCAGTGGCCCAGTGGCCCATGAAGAGGTAGAGGAGTCAGTGGGGAACTAACTGCTACATCTCAATCCAGTGTAGTTTCTCCAAATCCACTTCATTAGCCCAACCTTGTTCTGAATTCATAGTCTAGTCCAAAAGCTCAATATTAAATTAATTTCAACATAATTTGTCCAGGCTTCTGTGCCAAGACTACAAAAGAACACTCTTTGGGTAAGTCCCTCCAAAAAGAGAGGCCACTTGAAAAAGATGTGGCTGGAGGTGTGCTCCTTCCATTCACGGATAGACCGCAAGGTAAGGAAAAGCCTGCAGTCAGGCTGCAGACATAGGGTGAACTGCAGGTTTGAGAAAGAGCAGTGAGTACCCACAGTTCACAGTGAGGGGACAACTTTCTTCGTTTTTTTAGTGACCCTTGTGTGATCTGGCAGATGGACTGAATGACCATCCTCATGGGCTCATTAGAGCTGCAGATATGGGGAACGTCTCCGTTCCTTGAATCGTCAAGTGAATGGCTAGAACTGAATCTCTGGTCGTTCTTTCCTCCTGGAAGGATACAGATTTCTTATCAAGAGAGTGAGGGTAACAACTAGACCTACTTTAAAAACAAAGAAACAAAAAAACCCAGCTTTATTGAACTCTAATTTATATACTATAAAATCCACCCCTTTCAAGTATATAGTTCAATGAATGTTAGTAAATTCACAGAGTTGTGTAACCATACCCTCAATCCAGTTTGCGGATGTTTTCATCTCCCCCAAAACCTCCCTCATGCCTGCTGTGTTCAGTCGCCCTTCCCTCCTCTCCCCTGCCCAGGCAACCAGTAATCGGCGGTACTATCTCCCATAGATTTGCCTGTTCTGGACATTGCAAATAACTGGAAGCCTAAAATAGGCATTTCACATATGGTTGTCATTTAGCATAATGTCTTTTAAGTTCCCCTGGGTTGTAGCATGTGTCCGTATTTCATTCCTTTTTGTTGCTGAGTAGTGTTCCATCGTACGGATATATCCTAGTTTATATATCTATTCATGCATCAATTGATGAATTGTTTCCACTTTTTGGCTATTGCGAATAATGTTGCTATATTGGTTTCCTATGACTACTGTGACAAATTCCTACAAACTCGTGGCTTAAAACAACAGAAATGTATGCTTTCACGGTTCTGAAGACCAGAAGTCTAAGGTGAAGGTGTTGACAGCCTGTGCTCCTTCTAGATACTCTGGGGAGAGTCCATTCCTCGCCGCCGCCTCTGGTGGTGATGCCAATCCCTGACGCAGCCTTTTCCTCCATCTCCATGTTGCCTTCTCTTCTATGCATCTCCCCTAACTCCCTCTGGCCCTCTCTCCCCAGGATACATGTGATTGCCTTGAGGGCCCACCCTGATAATCTAGAAAAAGCTCTTCCTCTTAAGATCCTTAATTTACTCAAATGTTTGGCCACACACAGTAGCATTCACAGGTTCCAGAAATTTGATGTGGCTGTCTTCTGGGGGGCTATGTTTCTGCCTACCGCAGCAGTTGGGAATATTCACATAAAGTCGCTGCACAGATGTGTTTTCATATCTCTTCATAGGTAACTGGGAATGTCATTGCTGGGCCACAGTGGAAATTTAGGTTTCGCTCTCTAAGAAACTGTCCCCCTGTTTTCTGAAGAGGCTGGGCCATTTTACATTCCTGCTCACGATGTCTGAGGGTTCCAGTCTCTCCACATTCTTGCCAGTTGTCTGCCTTTTTGAAACTATAGCCATTCTAGTGGGTGTGAAGTGGTAACTCATTGTGGTTTTAATTTGCATTTCCCTGATGACTAATGATGATGAGTATCTTTTCATGTGTCTTAGCCAGCATAAGATTCTTGGTAAAATGTCTCTTCAGAGCTCTTACCCATCTTAAAATTGGGTTGTCATCTTTTTGAATTATAAGACTTAGCCTATTTTTCATAATCTGGCCCAGTCACTGCCAGTCCTAATGATGTGGTGATTGAGGTGACCTGATGAGGAGGAGCTGGGACCATCCAGGATGCCTGGAACTGGGACAAGGCAGCCATGTCTGCAGCGCGCCCTGTGTCAGTCCGTTCCTCCCAGGTAGATGGGACTCACAGTGGCCTTTTGACTCCCAATTACTGTGTCAGAGAAGCGAGGAGATGACTCGTTCTATGTCTTAGAGATCATAAGCTCAGTGGTGTTGTAGGCTGGCTGTTGTCTGATGAAAAAGGGGACTGACCTAAAGAACCCCGCAGCATATTCTCATTGTAGCCTGGTTTTTTTCTTTTCCTTTCGTTCTTTCTTTTTTTTTTTTTTTTTAACGATTTATTTATTTTAAAGAGAATGTGAGCAAGAGCATGAGCAGGGGGAGGGGCAGAGTGAGAGAGAGAACCCTGGAGCAGGCTCCTCACTGAGTGCGGAGCCCAGTGCAGGGCTCAATCTCAGGAACCTGAGATCATGACCTGAGCCAAAGGCAGATGCTTAACCGACTGAGCCACCCAGGCACCCCTAGCCTGTTTTTTTTTCTTTCATAACTCTTGCCACAATTTAAATTAAGTAGTTTTTTTCTGTAATATTATACATTGAATATCCTCCTCCCTCTCCTAGATGATTAAAAACCCCTGGGACAAGGACCACATCTGTGTGTTTTGTCATTGTCACCGGTCTCTAACACAGTATGCAGTAGGCAACCAACCAATTTTTGTCAGATGGAAGAATGACTGGAACATACCAGTCATGGGGGTTGAGGAGGATGTACTCTGCTTTGCAGTGGGTGATTCACACGAAAGCATGAAATAGAGGGTTGTTTGTTAAATAAGTAATTCATTAGCCACTGCATGTGCTGCTTAGGGACTTGTATTTTAACCGCCACTGATGCCATTTCCCCCATGTATTTCTCCTTTCCAGCGATCTATAACTACAATGCCTCTCAAGATGTGGAGCTGTCCTTGCAGATTGGAGACACGGTTCACATCCTGGAGATGTATGAGGGTAAGTCTGGATGGCCTTCTGCCAGACGGGGAAGGGGAAAAACGGTGGAAGTTACTTATTAATAAGGCACTTAGAGCAAACATCAATATGCTTTACTTCCTAAAGTCATGCTAGTAAAAATCCAGGAAGTACTTTAGGTTATACAAGTTCCTACTGGGGATGATTTCAAAACAGCCCGTTGAATACAGGAGTGCAAACGTGCCCAGACATCCGAATCTCAAAGTACGTGAATCGTTGAAGCCCAAGCCCTGGATGGAGAGGGATCCGCCACAGGGCTGGCTTGGGAGGAGCCACGTGGGACACCAGATTGGCTGTCGTGCCAAGGGGCACTGCTGATTAAGTGGCTCTTTCTACTCAGCACTAAATGTTGCCAGATTGGAGGAGAAATGAGGGAGAGACCTACTGGTGTTGCTGAGATTCTTTCACAGAATTAGGTCAGGGCTACAGCTGATCCAGAAAGCCCACTAGTATATTCCTTGCAACTAGCTCGGGCCAGGGAGGTAGTTCCAGTTAACCTGTTACTGGGCTGTAGGATAGTACTCAGGATTCTTGATCTGTCTGAGAGGCACGAGTCATGTCTGCTTCTACCGCATCCCACCCCACCCCAAGCTTTTAGCTCCAACTCAAACTCTTGGATTCCTAGCAGGACTCTTCCATGTATCCACATTTCTGATTCAAATCCCCAGAGTACAACAAACATGTATACAGGCCACTGAAGTTGACCAAAGCAAAGACCAATTTTTAGGGCCCGTTTATTCTCTGAAGATTGAGACAGGAATGAGGTAGGACGCTAAGGCAGACTTTTCTCATAGAGTGAGGCTTGTGAGAATCAGGATCTCTAGATTTTCAGGGTCTGCACTCCCCCTCACCCCAGTAAATGCTCATCATGGTGGAATGGCAGAGGTGGTCAAGAACCTAATGTGGATTCCTAGGATGGGGAAGAAAAGATGTGAAGCCAGGAGGAAAGGAAGCAAGGTTTGGCCATAGAAAAGCTAAGTCATTCTGCCCAGTTGCACAGAAGACTCTGTTATTCCTGCTGCCTCCCTTTATTTTGAGGCAGAGGGCAGGGGTTTGCTTCTCCCTTCCACACAAATCAAAGTACAATCATGCAGCTCCTAGGGGAAGGGAAAAGGTGGGGGGCTGTGTGGACTCTTCCTCTACTCTCTCTTTTCTGTTTTCATCCTCACCATCTCAGGTCCAGCCCAACATCAATTCCATGTAGTCCCTAAGTCTCTGAGACACGAAGGACAATCCACTATCGTCTCGTCTCAGGACTTCTTTGCTTATTGAAACCGTAGTTCCCTCAATCCTTACTAGGTCCTACCTCTTTGTCAGGGGCCAGATTAATCCGTTCTATTTAGTGTATCTATGGACACACATTTTTGCATTGTACAGGTGAAAGGTGTATGTTTGGTATCTGTAACTCTTCCAAACGGGCTTGAAAAGAATGTGTATTAGGATCATGGGGTGAGAGTTCTGTAGATGACAATCAGATTCTGATTTCTCTGTCTTTTTTTTTTTTTTTGAATTTGCTCTTTGTTAATGTTTTTCTGCATTTTCGGTCACTGAGAGAACCGTGTTAAATCTTCTACCGTGCTTGCAGTTTATGTCAGTGATGATTTACAGTGATGTCAGTTTTTTGCTTTATATATTCTCAGACCTGTTTTTAGGTACATACAACTTTAACTTTCGAATTGTTATATTAAGCAGTTTGAACTTTTAATTCCTGTTTATTAAATCTTTTACCATTATTTTTGTCGGTAGCAATGCTTTTTCCCTTAGCCTAGTTTGTCTGAAATTACAGCTAACTCATTGGCAGTCCAGGACTCCAGTTTTTGTTCTCTTGGACTCATGAGGCCATCAGAAATGCTGCTCAGCCATTCAGTACACTTTTTTTAATTCGGCAGGTGCCCCAAGAAGAGAGCAGCCTCGGATGCTGGTCTCATCTTTCTGAGTCTTGGTCTTTTTCAGATCTTGACCTCATAATTCCCATTTTACCATGTTAGATTTTCAGTATGTGTGCATGTGTGTGTATGTGTTTGTGTCTGTTGTGTTGTCAAGTTTTTCTAAGTGTACTGTGTGTGGAGTGTAGGAGGGAAGAGTGGAGAGTTGATTGGAAATAAAGTAGGTGATGTCTTTTGAATACATTTTCAAAATTCTTTTTCATCTCTATGTGACCCCAGCATATTTTTTGAAATAGCTAATTGAAGCACTTTGTCCTCAGAGGATTCATATTAATGTCCATTTTATATTTGCGTCTTCTCCGTACTTTACTGAGTAATCTCCCAATTGACCAATGAACATTCCTAAAGGTAGCACTCCTCTGGAGCAAGCTGAGGGGGTCACTGAGCTTGTTGAATATAAATGTAATCAGAGGTGCACAAACACATTCATTTCAAGTCCAAAAGCCACAGTGCTCCCAGCGTTTTGCAGCTCGGACAGTGGTATGCTTGCCGGTGCTGGCCCCGCTGATGGACGGTCACACAAAAACCTGCCACTTTATCGATGCTGCATCTTGAATATGATGATCCTGGTGCTCTAGTCCTGACAGCAGGAAGCTGGTGTGCCTGTTAATTGCTACCATAAAATACTTGATCTGCCGTAGGACTCCTTGATGTCGAAAAAGGATGTCTGTGCCCATTCAGCAGAACGCCGTGTGTCAAGGTATGAATGGGCAGTCTTAGAACATGAGCTTACGGAGTTCATTTACCACCACCAAGTGGCCTGTCAGTTTTACAGAGATTTTTATATTGGATTAAGCTTTTATATAGTGCTTATTTTATGGGATTAATTTTTTTTAATAGTGCCCGCCTTGCCAGATGCAGTGATAGGTTCTTCTATCTCCTAAGTACTTCGAGTTCTTGGCTGGGTTCTCAGATTCCTTTATTATTTCAGGCAGTGCAGGACTAAGTGAGGGCAGGAGTACTTTGCAAACATTAAACACGGTGGAAAAGCTGAGTAATAACTTGAGTTCTCTCCCTCCCTCCCTCCCTTCCTCCCATCTCTTCTTTTCCTTTTAAAAAAAATAATAAACAGAATGGAAACACCCAGAGTACTGCCAGATGGAATTTAAGGCTAATGCTGGCACTATCTTCCAGCTTCCTGTCGGATTTGGCTCCCGGGGCTCCCCACTGCACACTCTGCCCTCCCCCCCGGCCTTTGCAATATTCACATACCAGACCAGTGGGTGCTTCTTCCGGTGTGGACAGGAGTCTACCTTTCTGGAGCCCAGATACAGAAAAGTCTTTTCTGCCCGCAACCTGCCACAGAATACCACTTAGGACTCTTCCTTTTGCTGTTTCCTGCCCTGTGGTCGAATGAATAATTACGAAAGTAGTAGCTCCTTGAAGGCAAAGCCCGCTCCTCTTTCATTTCAGGGCCGGTGTCTAGCATAGCACCTGGCATAGAGTGGGTGTTCTGCAGAAGTCTGCTAAATGAGTGAAGATAAAATACGAGACCAAGGCAAACCCATTGGAGCAAGGCAAGCTAGTGTGGAGAGTAAGAGGGGTAGGGGGGGTCACCTCCATAAAACCCCAGATATTATAGGCAGAGTTATTCTTCTCCTTCCATGAGGGAAACACAGGAGGCTCCAACAGTTCCCCGCCCTTTGCAGACTGCAGAAGGATTTGTTATTGCATGAGTTTTTTGCTTTTGTTTTTAATAACAGCTTCATTGAGATCTATTTCAAATACCATGCAATTTACCCATTTAAAGTACACGATTCAATGGCTATTTACAAAGTGCGCCATTCACAGAGTTGGGCAACTATCATCACTATCTACTTTCAGAACATTTTCATTATCCCAGAAAGAAACCCTGTACCCATTTGGTGGTCATTATCCCCCAGCCCCGAGCAACCACCAATCTAATTTCTGTTTCTGTAGATTTGCCGAGTCTAGACATTTCATGTAAATGGGATCATATAATATGTGGTCCTTTGTGACTAGCTTCTTCTACTTAATGTAGTGTTTTCAAGGTTCATCATCATTATAGCATGTATCAGTACTTCCTATCTTTTTATGGTTGAATAAAATTCATTGTATGCATATATCACATTTTACTTATCCATTCATCAGTTGATGGACATTTGGATTGTTTACACTTTTAACCTATTCTGAATAATGCTGCTATAAACATTTATGTACAAGTTTCTGTGTGGACATGTGTTTTCACTTTTCTTGGGTATGTTCCTAGGAGTGGAATTGCTGGGTCATATAATAGCTTTTATGGTTAACCTTTTGGGGAACTGCCAGACTGATTACTTGAGTTTTGCCTCCAAAATAGTCCAAATGAGTGAGCTGTTACCATTTATCACTCATGTCTTTCTGTCACCTTGCCCTTGAACTTCATTTGTTACTAAAAATAGGGGCAGGGAAGTAGAATTGACTGAGAAGCTATATACTGCTTATCTTTCACAGGCCCCCAAGAACTATTTTCCTTCAGAGACTTTTTCAGGGAACAAAAATCCTCAAGGACTGAAGCAAGAGTCCTCTCCTTTCTTCATCTTTAGCACTAGCCTAGCCTGTAGTCATTGCCTTGTCTTTGCTTCTTTAACCAGACAAGGGATTTGATAGTGAGACAGCTGTTCTTCATCTAGAATGTTCTTTCCCACCCCAGATCCATGGGCATGGCTGAAAAAAATCACTGCTACCTTGAGATTCCAGTTGTGGTCATTTGTTCATTCAAAAACACTTGCTGAGCAAGTATTATGCTCTTTATTCTGTGCCAGGTACCTTTATTGAGCATAAGAGATATTCTAGGCACTGAGGTCACCTGAATGACGAAACAGCAAGGTTCCTGTTCTCATAGGGTTTCCATTCGAGGGATAGACAAAAACAAGTGAACGAAGTAAGTAAACAAAACAATTCAGATACTTAAAAGTGCTACGAGGAAAAAAGGTTGGTATTACCAGGCCCAGAAGAAGACGAGAGTGATGGACAGGGAGCAGAGGGATAAGGCAGAAGGACTACTTTAGATCAGATGGTTTTGTCCCTATTGAGGGTGACCGTCCTGGGCAGGACACTTAAACTCTTTTTGTGTCATGGTCATTGCATCTAGAACTGGGTTACTTTTTGAATTCAAAGTGATTAAATGAAAGTGCTCTGAAAAATTAAGGTTACAGCATTCCTTTTACCATTAAGCTCTCCTCTCCTGTGATTAACCAAATTCCAGTCATAAGTGATTTAATGCTCAGGGTCTGCTGTTCCACCAATGGATACTGGTTTCCTGCATTTGATTCGTATCCATTGGTAACTCGTTTTCAGCTCTATAAACCACGCACACGCTCAAGAGAGAGGGTGGCTGGTGTTAACGGTGATTTCTGGGGGTAAGCATAACATAGTTGGCCATAACAAAATGAGATAATGTCTCAAAGGCGTTCCAAGCTCTACAGAAGCAGGCACAGCATAAAGCTTTGTACAGTTTTAGTGTTATATGTAAGAACCCAAAGGATAGCACAGATGCTTTCATTGGAACCAGACAAAACAGGCAATCTTGAAAAGTTGAAATAAAAAGAAGCATTTGTGTATATACAGGAAGTCCCTAATATACCCATGTGATTTCTTCTGTATACAATGAGTCCAGTTTTCAAATACACCTTAATCAAGAAATCCATTCCCTTATAATAAAGGGAATTCATGTGGATTATGACTTGAGCTGTACATATCTTGAATCTTATCTTTATAAAGCAGGCTTTTTTTGTGAGCAAGTATAGAGGGCAGTCTTATGGCAGATAGGCAGAGGTACATGGCACTGAGCTTGGGCTCCGTGGCTGACAAAACCTTGTAGCAGAAGCATGAAAAAGAAGAGAGTGCTTTTGAACTTGTTTCAAGCAGGGGCTTAATCATCTCTCTGAGGTGTGCTAATTGGACCTGCACTGGACCATCTGACACAGAAAGGTCTTATTGAACTCCTTCAGAATGTCCGAGTCAAGAAGATGGGTTGTTACATCCTACAATCCTGTACAGCAGTGTCCCAACCCGGTAGCCTTGACATTCCTTGATCATACCTCTTTTCTTTGCCTTCTCTATTTGGTCAGCTGTACCCAATGGTCATAGACGAGTGAGAAATAAAGAAAATCATAACTAATTTTTAAAAATCAGTTCTTAACAGCACGTGTAAAGTTTTACCGGGTATAAGCTGAGATACGGCATTTGATGTATTTGTAACTTTCATTTACTTTTGTTACCCCATTAGTCAGGAACATTGAAAGTTTATTATAATTCAGAATCCATAGTCTCACCATTTTCTAGTTATAAAAACAACTGCCGTTCACAAACATCAATGGCAGTGAGCCCAACAGCTTGGATTTTATGGTAAGGACTGCGTGCGAACATTCTGGCATCCTCCTGGAAAGCAAATGAGGCCGTGTGGCATTTTGTTGAGTGTGCTGGTCACTTCCCACATCTGTTTGACCTTTACCTTAAGTACTGCTTGTCAGTCAGTACTGCTGGGGACATATGTTCCCGAGATGTGTTTCTCAAAAGATGAGTGTGGCGACAGGAGTGTGTTTACAGAAAAACTAATTAAAAAGTGGAGCCGGTAAGAAGTCTCCTCTCAGATTTAATCTTACTGAAAGGAGAATGACTTTTCTTGTTCTTCCTTTTGAGATATGTGTGAATGTGCTTCTAAAATGCCATCTTCAAAATGTCTGTTCTTTGTATATTAGGCCTACATGGGATCTTCTAGGACTGGGGTCAGGACTTTTTTCTGAGTGGTGCCTTCATTCAGTTACTTTGCCATGAACTGGCGCTTGGAGTTGGCCCATTTGAACGGCTGCCCACGCACCTAAGGAGGCAAGCTCAGCCTGAAAGCAAAGGCGTTTTGGGGGATGCTCTGGAGGAATGTTCTCATGAGCTTTTGGTGTCCCATAAATTTTGGTCTTCAAGGGATCCTAGGGGGAATCAAGGGGTTAAGAAGGTGGCAAAGTGGTGGGCAGGCTCCTTCCATCCCACGCATATACATAACCACTCATGGCTCCCTTCACACCTCTGAATGTGGGGCCATTCACATTATTTGGTGTATAACTTCTATCAAAAATGCCTTAGGTGTCTTATCTCCATTGGGAAATGTGGCACATCAAACCATCATCGGGCTAGGCACGACTCAGTGAAGGACTAGTGTAAGGAGAAAGTCCTAGAGGGAAGTTTAAGATTGATTGAGGGCAAACAGGAATAGGATTTTTCTCCTCTTGCTTATATCTGGAGAGAGAAGATTAATGTATGCCTCTACTTTGCTCATAGTAATGTGAGAGCAATTTATGTTCTCAAAAAGCATATAAGGGAACTTGGGCATCCTAAGTACCCACTCTGTGCTGGAGTGTCCCATCTTACTCAACCCATGGAAGCAAATCATTCAGTAGAAAGTGTTGTAGAGAGCATGCTGCCTGAAAAAACTAAATGCTGCGAATTAGTCTTAGAAGCGCAGAGAACTGTGGTTCTTTCCCTGGCCTCACCTCCATGTGTAACCAGGCTACACAGAGCTGTGGCCAGGGCAGGAGAGGAAGGATGCTTGTTATACATGGATTATTAGTCTCACTTTTATGTTCTGCGTGTGTGTCCCCAGCGTTTGTCATCTGAGCAATATTAAATATGTGTGCACTTAACTTTGACAACAGGAATATGAGTTTCAACAACCTTACCGAGCACGTCAGTCCCTCTTTTGAATGGCAGGAGTAATCAACACAGAATTCCTAACCTCAAATACTTGCTTAGTGCTCACCGATGCAGACTGAAGAGTCTGTCACTACAGTTGGAATTGAAGGAATGGGAGGGGGCAGGTGTTTGAATTAGTCTTACTGTCACATTCATTGCCCACTGAATGTCAAGTCATGCCTTAGAAGCCCCTATTTGGGTAGCTTCTGGGTTCTTTTTTTGGCTGCATTCAGTATCTGCTCAGGCCCTGAGTTACTCAGCACTATTTTCTCAATTATTCAAGCCATCGTCATACAGTTTTTCTGTCACCCAAGCTGTTTCTTCTACTTTTTCTTGTTACCTTTCCCTTAAAGTCATCTTTCCTATGGTTTTCTTGGGGGCAGGGAGCTTATTCTCTTGGAAGATAAAAGTATGTCTTATCAGGTGCTACAGTTATGGAATAAGGCTTCCCCCTTGCCTGGTATCCCAGCTGCCTTATGTACACTTCAGCTTTGTCGTCAGTAACTTGAGAATAATTTAGAGAGGTTCTTCTCCTTCTTGCAGGAAGCACAGACACATTCCTCACAAAACAAAGAAAAGAGAACTTTAGTCTGGCATCATTAGCCCGGGAATCAGACAATGGCCCTAGAAGTGGGAGATAGTCCCTGGATTATGTCACTGGTACCCTCGGTTCCAAATTTGTCTGGCATTTTACTCTCCTCTGTTCGCCAAGCATTGAGCTGAGGGCTTTCATGTACTGAATCTTAGCTCTTGCGATCATGGGAGACCGGAGTTCCCGATGCTCGTTTAGTAAATGTGAAAATCAGGTTCAGGAACTTGAAACTTCATACAGCCGTTAAATGGTAGAGCTATGATTCTCACCATGGTTTTTTGGAATCCAAGTAGAATGTTCTATCCACATTGTGAGGCCTTTGAGGAAATGATGCTTCTCTATTTTGGACCTAACCTGTAGTGTTTCAAAGAGGGTGAGGTTCTTTTGCTTTATAAGTAGCTGTCAGACAAGCTTCCCACCACCCCAAATGTGTCTGTGTTGGGGTGAGCTCTTTCAGAACTTCATTTCCCCCATGGCTCATCCACACTCACTTGCTGCTCTGGCCAGGGGGGGTCTCCTCACTGTTCTCCAAGCCCACTGTGTGCTTGGGCCCCCTGCCCCGCCGGTGCCAACATGCCTCATCTGCCCCCGCCGCCTCTCCTCTGCCTGTTTTCGAGAGCTGGCTTTCTCTGAGCAGGTAGGCACGTCTGTTCCAGGGGAGCACAGCCCCGTCATCTCCCCCACCCAGAGATAGGGGCCCTCCTCCCCCAGCCCACACACTCCAGGTCAGAATTACTGAGGGGCTGGGCTACAGTTACCCACAGTGTGCCCAACCCCCTTAGGTGTGGCCGGCAGGTCAGAGAGGGAAAAGTAAGCAGAGAGGTCTCTGGAGGGGTCTCTGACCACCCCAACCTGAAGCAGTCTCCCTCCCCACGTGTTTGTGGCAGTGAGTGTCCAGCTGGTGTCCCCGCCTGTGCCCTCCTGCTTGTATTAGTCCAGAAGGCATTTGCATTGAACCCAGCGGTCTTTGGCTCGCACAGTCTCGGAAAGTCCCACCTGGTTCACGTCTGTGCCCTTGCTGCTGATCCTTTGCTACCAGGACTCATACTGCCGTCACCACTGCTGGGTCCCCGCCTCTGTTTCTGCCACTGTTGATGTTGTCACACCCCCGACAGCGTGTCCTCGTCTCTGTCTCGGTTCTCAAAGTGGAGCCCAGTGGTTCGCTTTCAGAGTCCGTAAGTACAGCTTTGCCCTTTCGTTTTTAGGATGCGTTGCACTGAGGAACTTGAAGCAGGTTTCTAAGTGACCCAGACCGACGGGGTCTTGGGACAGCGCCATCCGTGTCACACGCGCTAAGCTAAGGCATGCACGCTCCCAGTGCCTCTGCACGGGCTGTTTCCTCTCTTGCTGGAGCCTCCGTTCTCCCTTCAGAAAGGAAGGCCGCCTGTATGCGTGCCCTTTACCTTGATGTCCTCCTCGGGAGGCTTAGATGGTCGCCTGAGAAAAGCAGCCTGCGCTACAGTTCCAGAAATCCTCGGTAACTAGCTGTGCAGGTTTGTCTTCCCTCACCTGTGTCTCTGTTCCACCAGTGGTCAGATTGGAATGGCTGAGATGGGGGGTTGGGGTTTATACTCTCAAACTCCTGGAGGCTCCACAGAGCCTAGCATAGGTATTTGTAAAGATGGGCCCCCTAAATATATCTTGCTTGATGAATTGATTCCTCACTCACAAACCTGCTTCCCTCTCTTGTCCATCTTGCAAATTGGTGCTGCTGATAAAACCAGTCTTAACGGTGAATTGCAGCAAAACTGGATGCTGTATGCTGTCATTTCAGCTTTCTCAAACTAGTTGGATAAGCTCGAGAGAGACGTGCGTCACAGAGGAGGGCAATTAGAGCCAATGGCAAGATGACTGGCTGCCGGCAGGATTACTTTGCTTTAAAAAAGAGAAAGAAGGAAAAAGCCACATCCAGGAAGTACAGCGGGAGTTGGCAAACCAGAGTGATGATGTTGATTAGCCTAGAGGAAATTTTATTTCCCCCATGTCACTGAGCTACAGGGTGTCTGTGAATCCAAGAGACCTTTCCTCCTTTCGCAGTGGCCATTTGGATGTCATCTCTCCATTCTGCCAACTGCATCTGCCCCCACCCCCACCCTGGACCAGGTCCTCCTGCCCGTCTCTGGGAGGGGGGCGGGGTTTGCTGCTTGAAAGAAGTCTCTTGTAGGCAACCGGGAGAAACTTCAGCATTTTTAGCTATGGGGTGAGATAAGATTAACGAGATGGGGGAAAAAGTAGAATGTTTTTGTGGAAGGAAACTGAAGCCACAAAAGCCTTAATTACTTGAACAGTCGAAGAAATGGGAGTCCCACAGAACCAGGCCTGTGCATTTCAGATGAATCCTCTTCATAAGGAGCAATGCCGCCTCTTCTCTGGACATTCTGGCCTCCGGGGCAGGGCCCAGCTCTGCCCAGTGGGCGTGGGATCCCAGGGGGAGAAGAGGGTCTCTGGGACCTTGCTGTCAGATCGTGCTTTGGAGATGCAGATTTTTTCGTGCAGCCCTCGCATCATCTGTTCTGTCCATGACCACCCGCTCACAGGACCTTCTCTTTCTCATTGATGAAGTTATTTAAAGTTTATGGCTTGCCTGCTATGTTCCAGGCACCCAAAAAAACAGACCTCTTTCCTGTTCACTCAAGAAATAAAATGAAAGATGGAAACCTCATCTCTTGCTTTTCCACTTACTTGGCATGCTTGCCTGCATGGGTGTTTTATATTGGTTGGATTCCATGGCTAAGCTTCCTTCCTATGAGAGGCAGTGCCTTTGCCTTGAGCAAGAATCGCATATGCTGCATGGCCCAGGAGGCAGGTGGTGGAAGGCAAACAGTGATGAACCCGGTGGGAGGAGCCCTGTGTTTGCATTCCCAGCTTAGATAGTGAGTCCCTGGTTGACTTTGCACAACCTTTCCAATTCCTTGCCTGTATTTCCTCATTTTTAAGTAAGGGTGTTAGACTTTGGGGAAATCTGAGTTCTTTTGGAGCTCACACTTGTAACATCTATCTGTGAGTCATAAAGGCACAAAACTGAGCTAAGATGTTTGACTGGGAAGACTGATTTGTTTACCAAAAAGGTATAAAAGAATAGAATCATCTTTTACTATCTTTGTATCCTTTTCCTTTCTGCCTTTGAACTTATTTTCAAAAGCACTGGTGAGGGGGGCGCCTGGGTGGCTCAGTCGTTGGGCGTCTGCCTTCGGCTCGGGTCGTGATCCCGGGGTCCTGGGATCCAGCCCCGCATTGGGCTCCCTGCTCGGCGGGAGGCCTGCTTCTCCCTCTCCCACTCCCCCTGCTTGTGTTCCTGCTCTCGCTGTCTCTCTCTATCAAATAAATCAAATCTTTTAAAAAAAAAAAAACAGCACTGGTGAGGCTGGTGGGCATGCAAGCTGGTGCAGCCACTCCGGAAAACAGTAGGGAGGTTCCTCAAAAAGTTAAAAACAGAGCTACCCTATGACCCAGCAATTGCACTGCTGGATGTTTACCCCAAAGATACAAATGTAATGATCCGAAGGGGCACCTGCACCCCAATGTTTATAGCAGCAATGTCCACAATAGCCAAACTATGGAAAGAGCCCAGATGTCCATCGATAGATGAATGAATAAAGAAGATGTGGAATATTACAATGGAATATTACTCAGCCATCAAAAAAAAAAAAGAAATCTTGCCATTTGCAATGACG